AATACAACACTCCACCAATTAACGCCTCCCACGAGCTAGATACCACCACCTGCTTACCCATACCTATAAATATCCACCAACAGTAATCACAATTTACACAACATTCAGCCTTGATAATGGATGCAGAATGCATTCGAAACGCGTCGGCCAACTCATCACTGGCTACAACTTTTACCCGTTGTTCTAACAACGTTAAGACGGCTTATCGACTTCTTGAGAAGAATTCTAAGAAGAAAGTAAACCTACAGACATCGGTCTTGTTTAATAAAATCTGCCTACAAGAAAATATGTCACCAAAGTACACCAATATATATATATATAACTCTTATGTAGATTTATGTGTATGCTATACTGATGAACCAGTCTTTTAGAAAAGTGGTACAATTTATGGAGGAACAAGTAGCAACAAAAGTGTACTGGTCATTTCTAGAAATGAAAAAAGTATTTTTTTAAATTGCACACAGGTGGACGGCAAGAAATACATACTTTATTATTCAATAAAAATATATATATTTATATATGAATTAGGATAGATTAAACAAACATTGGGCATGAACAAGTCTTTCTTGTAAAAACTGTTGCTAATATTGAATAAATATTTAACGAGAAACTCTGTTCAAAAATGTTATACACTACTGATATTTTAGAGTAGGGCTCTCACTGTAAAATATTTAACCTGAAAACTGTTCAAAAATGTTATACACTACTGATATTTTAGAGTAGGGCTCTCACTGTAAAATATTTAACCTGAAAACTCTGTTCAAAAATGTTATACACTACTGATATTTTAGAGTAGGGCTCTCACTGTAAAATATTTAACCTGAAAACTCTGTTCATAAATATTATACACTACTGATATTTTAGAGTAGGGCTCTTACTGTAAAATTTGCTGAGCTTTTAATGTGATGAATGCTTTCAGTTTCTTATGATAATTCATTTATCATGATAACAAAGCTGCTTTAGATTTTTGTGAATTTATAATTATTAATAAATAAGTTAAGTGCATTTGATACATATTAACTTTATCAAAAATAGGGATTAGTTTAAATAAGATGGCCTGGTGGTTAGAACACTCCATTATGGAACAAGCTCGTCGTTTCAGCTCTGAAGGTGTTATATTGCAATGGGCAATCTCACTTGTTAGTAAAGAGAAGAGTTGGTGGTGGGTGATGTTGACTAGATACTTTCCATCTGATCTTTCACCTAAAAATTAGGGATGGCTAGTGCATGTAGCCCTTGATTAGCTTTTCACAAAATTCAACAAATAAAATAAATGAGTATTATCAAGAAAGTCAGTAGAAAATGCAAGACTTTTAGTTAAAAAAAAAAAGAAGACAATGATCTATTTTCATGTCAGGACTACAGCTCTAAATGACAGAATCAATTTAGCATGTTCTATAATAAAGCAGAGTTAACTAAATGCTGTCACTGTATCTGATATTATTTGAATGGAAAAACAAGAAAAGGTTTCAAAGATTCTGAGTTGCATTTAAAATTCATAACTGTTAACGAAAGATAATTAAAAAATATATGATTGTATCGCATGTCTGGGTAATATACAAAAATCAGGATGTGATGAATTACCAAACAATGAAAAATGTGCTGATATACGTTAGTCTTAGTATACTGTCAGTCTTAACTCTGTATATAACTAATATTTGAATGTGTACTTAGTCATATTAAAACAAGTAAATTCTAAACATGTTTGTCTACAGATTTGTAGATCACTTATTCAACAGGCAAACACCTGTTAAGATAACAGTTGTATTTGGATAAATCATAATTCTTATATAAAAATTACACTGGATAATTAAGCAGTTTCATAGTTACATTTCATGTCTTTTTTTTTTTATATTTAGTTTTTATGACATTTTGAGTAAACATCTCCATTCTGACAGAATATTTACACAAGACATTTTAGTGCAGTGAGTGGATGGTGAATGACCTCAAATGTGGTTTCACTCCATTTGCTCTGTATTTATTGTCATTCTGAAACCTACAGCTGGATAATAATTATAAAGTAAACTGTTACAAAAATAGTATAAAGGGATTAAAGTAATAGTGGTAATAAAAATGTAAAAACATTCTTAAAAGTATAACTGTTATTTTATCATGAAGAACTTCTAAACTTTTCTGTTATACAATATTTTGTAGGCAGCTAGTATCAATTTTAACTTTTGCGGACTTTGTTCGATAACCCCTCCTTTCTTTCCTTCATTTGATCGATTTGTAGATTGAACAGATGATATGGTCAATTTCATGTTGTCATGTAGCTCAATTTTATCAGTTATTAAAAAAACAACTTTTGTATCTATCTGTACTAAGGACATATCTTGTGGCTCTCCAATCATGTTAAGTCAAATTAAATATGTGATTTTTTTTTCTTGTGAGAGAAACATTGGATGCTTGGGTGATATCTTCTTTTGCATATGTTTACTTTCTTTAATTTATATGCAGTGTACATTGAATGTGATTTGTTTTGTGCTGTTAAAAAATTTCTTATTTTAATAGTGTTTGCTATTTTTTGTTTTGGTAAATTCACACAAACAAAACATTCTTGCTGTTTAAAAGCATAATTATCTTCAGTTTACAAACAATGTATTACGTTGTTTCCTGTTACAAAACTGAATGCAGTAATTGGGTTGAAGAGAAATGTTACTAATAACTTTCTAATTTTATTTGATTTAGAATGAAAGATAAGGAATAAGAAGAAACGTTTTTTCTCTCATTCATTCTTAAACAAAACAGATTGGAGAATACAGTTGTACTTATTTAAACTTGGAGACTTATTTTTTGTTGCATATTAAATTTTATTTTTATTTTTTTAGCGTACGTCTCATATCTCTGGCGGCCCAAAAGTTTATTTCTGATATAGCCAATGATGCCTTACAACACTGTAAGATGAGAGGAGCAGGACAAAGTAAGAAGACAAGCAAGGTCAGTCTTAGATTTTCTATACAACATTACACTTTTATTATATGTATTATAAAAATATAAATTCTTTAATGTTTCACTGGGTTTACATGTGAATGTAAAGATAAATCATTGTACAATGTATTATTTATTAATCTAGTGGATTGCAAAAATCCACAATATAAAGTCTGATTGGGTTAGTAAGTTAATATAGTTAAAAGTCTATTTAATAACACTAAACATCAAATGAAAAACTTGTAGATCAGTAGCCTTGAGAAACAATTTAATGGTTAGAAAATATTTTGCATGATATTTTTAGTAGTTATCTAATGTATGTAAATTTAGTGTAATAGTCTGGTTTGGCATGTACTGAACGAGTTTATAGCATTGTATCGGAACTGTACGTTTTGTGATTGTTATTAATTTTAAATATTGTTTGGTGTATTTTATAAATACACTTACGAGCAATTGAATATTTAATTCAAACCATTATGCTTAAATATAAAAAAATGGTTTACATCTTTCTACGTCCTGTGGTAGTGCTAATTTTCCATTTTCTATTTAACTTACTAAAAAAATAATAAGAAGTAATAATTAGTTAATGATTTTTTTATGCTTAATGATAATTTTCATATTTCAGTTATTGTTTGCAAGGTAAGTGTTCATCATTGAAATTGTTTGATTATATAGATTAAGTCTACCTTTGATTTAAGAAAGAGAACTAGACTTTTCTTGATTATTTAAATGTGCTTAACATTTATAGAACTTAGTGTTAACCTTATTCCAAGTTATGTTGGATGACTGAACGTGTATAGTATGAATTTTTTATGAATTTTACTTCTGATCGTCATTCTACCTTTGTAATGGCAGATGGTGGACTGGTCTTACATTATATCCTTTCATTGTAAGCATGCAACTGAATGATGTTGGTTATTTCAGTAAATTTAATAAGCTTTAGCTTACTCAATGCTTTGTGCCCAAAGTACCAGCTAATGTACTACATCCATGTACAGTGTCGTTTTTGAAAATTCTACAGAAGTAGTTATTTGAATATATTGATTTGTGAAACAGGAGGAAATGAAAATATACAAAAAAAAATGGTTTTTGTTTTGTTTTTCACCGAGGTACTAATTTTCACATCATCAAGAATCTATTATGTACATTAGAGAAAGTGGTTCTGTATATCTGGGCTGGATGTGAACTCTAGTAAAAGCACTTTTAAACATTATTAATTTATTTTAGCTAGTTGGTAAAGGTGGAAACACCACTGGTCATCAGATATGTTTATCTTCTTTTCTTATCCTGTCTAAAATTCTTTTTCCTATGAATTACAATGACATATAAGGAGCTATGAGAAAAACATGTTTTCATGCATGCAAGGCAAATTTTTTTTATCGATGTTACTTGATATTATCTTGATATAAAGCTAAACAGTTAGTGGTATTTGCCAGTTTGTTAGTACAGTGTTTTTCAAACCCTGGTATGTAGAAGCAAAAAAACAAAATTAGTGAAGGGTACTGCTAGCCATTTGCCTTTTGTTCTAGTCAGCAGTTCAGCATATAAAGAAATACAAAGTTGGTGATGGCTACTGCCAGCCAGTTGCTTTCCCTCTAGTGAGAAATTAGTGACAATGACAGACAGCCCTAGTAGCTTTTCCATAACAAAGACAGGACAGGCAAGTTATGGCAATATTTTGATTATTTAGATAGTTGGAACAATCAAAAATAGTAATAACTGCAAACTCTAATTTTGATTATTTTCATGAAAATTGATTTATTCATAATTTTGATTAGTTGATGGTTGGAATAATATAAAAAATGTAATAATTGGAAACATTAATTTCAGTTAATTGATTTAAATGTAATTTTGTATACAGTTGGTTAGTTTACATGACACTAACTGATGCAACCACTCTGCATAAGGAATCAACTAAATTGCCCAACTCTATCCTAAATGAGAGGACTTGATCTGAAAATGATTCGAAAAATATATACCAAATATATATTTATGTACAAGGAAAGTTACAGACATAGACTTGTGTGTATACAATAATAGTTCAGTGTTCTTTTCCAGAAACATGACAAATCATATATGTTGAAAGTTAAAATAGAGCAGTTAATACTACTTTTATGATATTTATTCACTTTTTTGACATTTATTCTGGTTTGGTAACTCAAGTCAAAGCTTTAATGAGTTTTTTAAAATTTACTCAGAATAAGTTTTATATTGATGTTTTTACAGACACTCGTGTTGTTGTAAGAAATTATTAGGGTATTTTTTAAACTAATAGTAAATGTGCTCTGAACTTCTGTAGCAACAAAGTAAATGTTTCCATTGATAAGGAACTTTTTGTGTTGTATTCTTACAGGACAAACGTTACACTCTTACAATGGAAGACCTAAATCCAGCTCTTATGGAATATGGAATTCATATTAAGAAGCCTCATTATTTTGTTTGATCCCTCACATATGACATTATGATGGTTATGTATTGATAGTTTTACTGGTCTAAGATTGTTACAAGACTGAAAAAAATTGTGTAAGAACATTTTTGGGTCATAAAAGCAGTTTTTATACAAAAAACCAAAACTGATCTCTCTGTTGATAGTGTTTATGTTGGCAGACATGTTTGTTTAAAAACATTTCTTGTGAAATAGAATTATTAAACATTTCAACCATCATGTCATAGCTCTTTTTCTCATCTTGTCTTAGGCCAAATAAAAAATAGTTGTAGTTTCTGTTACTTGACTTTTATTGAAAAGCTGTTGTAAATAATATCTACTTTAGAAAGCTGACATTTTTTCACTGTTTTGGGTTATCTTTGCAGCTTGTCATTCAGGATTTTCAAAACATTTAGATATAATCTGCCAAATCTCCAAGTGTGCTGCTTGGAGGGGTCACCTATTTTAACTACTGTTAGTGTGTTGTCTGTCTGCCAGTCAGTAGACAGTAAAATGATGTCACATTGTTGCAATTTGTATTGTTATGACGTCAGTAAAACATGCATGTCGTGAATTACAAGAAGAATTATGCACTCTGTGGGCTACAACACAGCATGACATATGAATTTGAAAAGCAAGAAATAAAACTATTTGTTACTCTTAATTTTGGTTACATTTACTCTTGAAACAGAACACTTTCAGAGACCCTGTGTAAGTACATCTAGTAACTACTTAAACACTCAAATTCATGTAAGTTTTAGATTAAAATTTTATTACTTTACACAGTGAAATTAAGTCACAAGAGGAAGGTTTATTTTTTTCTGGTAACTATAATAAAGGTAAGTTTTACAGTTAGTATACTGTAATTTGTATTATGTCTCAATAACTGCTTCTTAATTTTCACTAACTGCTTGTGAAAATAAAAAAGCTCTTTTATTGGCATTTCAAAAGTGAAATGAAGATAGAAGCAAAATGACTAAATAGCATATAGAGTAGTATTTTTGCAATATAAAATTAAATACACAACTATTAACTGTGGAGTTTTATTTGTAGATTAGCAAAAAATCTTTGTTGGTTAAACAAAGATAGCTTTTGGAATTAAAATTCAAAACTTATTTAATACATTGTAAAATTTTAAAGAATTGTATGTATATATATTGGTTACTTCTAATTTTGGGAATCAGTTGACCCTTAGAATGGTTCCTCCCTCACACTGTTTGTATTTATTTTACCAGTTTTGTTAAGGTAAATAAGGAAATTTACAACTGTCGCATGTTTATTTTATAGATGTATTGGTCGAAAAAAATGGTTCTATGTTTTAGGAAGAAAAGTAAACATATTCAAACCTAAAAATGTTTTATATCATATTCAATCCTAATGTTCTTTGAATCTTGTATTTATCACATCTATGTTGATGTAATTTTTGTTTTTATTTTTTACAAAAACAATATTGTAAATACAATTTTAATTGATAATTATATTTAAGTAGCATTCATTGTAATCCTCTCTTGTTGTATGTTTATAAAAGATAATTCTACAAGTTGATACAAAAACCCAAACAGATATGTATATATTTTAAAAGTTTATTTGTTCATTGTTACAAAAATATTCAAACAAGACAATGTGAGCTCTATAAAAACATTAAATTTCAATCACAAATAAGGATATCCGAAAGCAGCAATTTTCTAAATCATATTCCCATGCTAATTTTTATTATATCCTCAGAAGAGTTAGTGTTATTTGAAATCTATTTCGAAATTGTAGTTTTAATGGTAATTAATATTAAAAAACTGTATAAACATATCCAATATGAAATTTTATATGGCACATTATCCCAAGAACAGTTAATTGTTCGTGTAATTTTACTATATATATATGTATGTGTACAAAAAATCAAATCTACTGACCTTTCTTCTTTCAGATGATATAACTATAACCAGTCCAGACAGAACTATTCATACTTAAAAAATTAAGTTGTAACTAATTTTTTATCGAAAAGTGGTGTTAAAATTACGGAAAAAAACAGTGCAATATGCGAAATGTTTTTATATTATTTTGAGATTACACTGAAGATATACATGTTGTAGAATCAACAATAATATATCATGAGTTATGAATAGTCTAAATTTAATTTTTTGAAAGGCAATAAAGTAGGGGATGATTATTATCTGGCTTTCGTTTAGAATCGTGTTGAAAGTGTTAGCGAATTCAGGTGTGTATTTGTTTGCAAAGTTAAGACTGAGCTAGTAATTCAATGAAACAATCAAATGTCGTGACAATTGACAAATATATTAATTCCTATAACTCACAGTGCTAAAATAGTAATTAGTAGTAATATGAATTAACATGATTATGTGTATTAAAGATTCGTACGTGTGGTTTGAAAAACATTCGTGTAAATAATTAATAATTTGCACTAACTTTATTCTTTTTCTCTTCAGTTGCAAATCACTAAGAGATAAAAATGGTTATTCTATCAAAGGGTCAAAAACTTTTATTCAGTTTCTTGTCCACTGATAATAACCCGAGGGCTAAAAAGTAAACCTATTTATAGACAAATTATAGTTATATGTAGTAAACACCCTGTATATATATATATATATTATCATAACTTTGAGATGCAAAATCATGGGACTTCAGAATCGTAATTTTTGCATAACTTACTGAGGTAAAGGCTCGTAGTAATGAAAACAGTAACTTGTATAATCTATCAATTGAACTGTTATTATTTTAATAAAACTTTTTCGCAAAAGTTCGTATAATCGAATATTGAACAAATTTCTACTTGGATTATACAATTATATTAATTCTATAAATAAAATTATGTGCTATGGATTGAACGTGAATATTGAAACGATTTGAATCATAATTCAATTAAGCAAACCAACATGAAAAATGACATGAAATAAATTTTTTGTTTAATACTCATAAGTACATTAATTAAAGATCCGCTTAGAGGAAGCAAACGTTCGCTGTAAAAACATGCTTTTCTGACATGATAATAGTCTTAGTAATTCAATTAAGTTTAATAATGTTCTAACTTTAAGTGACAAATAAATTTCGCACACTGTTATTGTCTTAATGTGTTTTAGAAAACTGGCTTTACATACGTTGAATATAAATGTGTGTTCATAATTAAAATTAGATTATTAAACTCTATAAGGCATCTGATTTTACTAAAATGACAGTAGATAACCCAACTATAAACGAACTATGTTGATGTATTGGTTAATTACTAAAGGTTGTTCTGATGTACATTAAGTGAAATTACAAAAAATCTAAGTGCTAACGTAGTGGCAAAAATGATTTCACAATTTAAATTACAATCAAACATTTAGAACTTCGTCCTTACCTTGAAATCCATTTGTCAACAAATAACAAATCTTGTTCATTTACACTGTTTTTTAGATAGAAATGTTTCTTTAAACATCTACCGTTCCAACACCAAAAACTCGTAATGCTCACCTCATTGTACATTTAATTTTATAGATTAATGCAATTAAATACTACAAACCGAATTGCACATATACATCCAACAAAAATATTCGCCTTATCGAACCCAGGTATGCTCCTTTCGAAAGCTGTATATACTGTTCACACTTATGAATATAATTTATAACTTTTTAAATATAATTTTCGCAAATAAATCAGTTGGATGTCTTCCAGCAACGTAGACGACTGCTGCCATCTATCCATGACGTGTAGGATAAAATATTTTCCAACAATAGTGTATATAGACTTCAGAGTAAAAGTGCCTATTTTTCATTATCACAAAAAATTTCATTACCACCGTTGTTAATGGAAATGGAATCCCGATTTAGTTTTCGTTAGCTGCTGAAGCCAAAGGTTTTGTTTTGTATTTTTATGGTCGTTTCCATTTTCCACTGTTTTTAAATTGTCAGTTTCTTGTATGGTGTGGCTCGGCTGTTCTTCTGAAGTTGATTCACAACTGTTGCTTTTTACTAAAACGTTCGATAGAAGAGAATGGATATATTTAAAAAACACGCACAAAGAAAAGTAACACCTGGATTTCATATTTTAAGTGCTTTAGAAATGTACACGGGAAAGAATGGTATAGAAGGCTAGTTAGTTATCCTTGTAAACTAAAAGCAAATAATGATAATATATTGTAAGTATATTTCTGCTTAGCTAGGTTGATGTTTCAGATGAGTCACAGCAGTTTGGGCTAAGTAGCAAAATAAATATCAAATAATAATCGATATTTATTTCAATAACACGCTTTATTCTTAGTTATCGAACAGGCATATTAGTAGTATAAGTAAAAAATAATAATTCATAGACTCGTTTCACCATAACAACCGCCAAAGCTAGACAAAACTTATTAGTTCACGCTTAAAAAACTTGTTGGAGTTCCAAAGTATTTGGTCAAGTTCACAATGTTAATTATTAATCGATTAATGTATTCAGTTACTTACTTTTATACATACATACCTCCTTGTGGCTTAGCGGTGAGACCGCAGACCTACGACTCTAAAATTCAGGATTCGATACCCGTGGTAGGCAGAGCACGGATAGTCCATTATGTAACTTTGTGCTTAACAACAACCAAACTTATTTGTATTATTTAATTTTCATAGTTATATTTGCTTTTTCATTTCGTATTCTCTACCAATTAATTACTCTGGCTAGGTTTGTTATTTTATCCAGCAGATATAATCTTGAGTGCACCTAAACTAGGCTAAAAACGTAATGATACAGATCCAATTGATAAAGGTTATTTATTCTACTAAGCTAACCCTAATTAGGCACCTGGATTACCAAAGCTTTATACCTTAAAACTCTACTTAACGGGTTGCAATCCAAATAATCACCTTTTGGCTTTATCTATAAATTCTTTTTCTAACTCCGGGATTATCGGATGCTAGATTCTTGGAATACGTGCCCCCAGTGGTATGTCTGCGGACTTACAACGCTAGAATACGGCTTTCGATACCCGTGGTGGACAGAGCACAGATAGCCCATTGTGTAGCTTTGTTCTTCATTACAAACAAAACAAATTGGAATACGTATTTGTATAGGAACCTGTGTATACTCCTGCTGCTTTACAAGTTTGGGCGGAACAGGTCTTTTGACCCTACAGTGACAGTATACTTGCTAGGTCAGTATGGAATTACCTTTGTCCAAAGCTCTCGGATCTCTATTTTATCATTCCTTAATAACATTAACTTCCTTTATAATTATAGGTGGGATGCTACTCCATATTTATTTGAAACCTTTTCTTGTCTCCCTTTAGTACTTTGAGTTCTGTGGGGTTTCCCTCCTACTTTACAAAATTGTCTTGCTTGTATCTCAGCATTTCAAGACTACTTGAGAATTAACACGAATGGTTTGCATGGATCTTGAGCTATTTATGTCCAGATCTTCAAATTACTTTTGTATTATCGTCTCTTAAATCACACTGGTAGTTATATTGCTGAACTTTTAGATATCATGTTAACATCATCTTGATTATGCAATTCTCTTACCTCATTTTTTCTCGTTCTGTTTTTTTCAGTCTCCTTATGTTAAGCTCATACAAGTAATGTAACTTCCGTGCTTTGTTGTGAAAAGGTCGTGTTTTTCTAGGTAATTTACATGTTCTGAACGATAATTATTTTTACCTGGTATGTTGGTATTCCTGGAAATAAATGGACTGAGAAAGCTGTAAAATATTTTATCGTTTTTTGATTGTTCTTAGATAGTTCTTCCGTTAAGAAGTTCCTGCTATTCAAATCTTCTCATTTGGTTCGGGCACTCGACTCGTAATATGCGGGTCGTGGGTTCGAATCCACGTCCCACCAAACATGCTTGCCCTTTCAGCCGTGGGGCGTTATAATGATACGATCAATCCCACTATTCGTTGGTAAAAGAGCTGGCGGTGGGTGGTGATGACTAGCTGCCTTCCCTCTAGTCTTACACTGCTAAATTAGGGACGGCTAGCGCAGATAGCCCTCGTGTAGCTTTGCGCGAAATTCAAAACAAACAAACAACCAAAAGATCATCCGAGAATTGGTTTAACGTACAAGTGGGACGAGATATACGTTTGTTTCCTTCCCTATTACTCAAAATTACCTAAAAAATGGACATCAGGTGTGATTGTGGCACGGTTATGACTTGGTATTTGTCGTTTCAAATATACTACACATAAAATTGGTAAGGTGGCTTTAGAATATATTTTTGCAGGGCTTTTCTAGAGAATATTTAACATTTGTTTCTTACGTGTCCTAATTATCAAAGCTTGTATAATTCATATTCACTTATTTTTGTCGTTAACTGCCTTATTAGGAGAAATTTGCGTTGATTACATCTTGTTGTTATTCTCCAATTTCTTAAATACACCTTAGTGTTTAATTACATTGCGTCTTCAATGTAGATTCCCCTTCTCTATAAATCAGTTACTCATCTGGTAACGTATATCTCTTGGTGTACAAAAGCCCGCTAGGATTTGAAAACTACAAAAAAAAAAAAAAATCACATAGTGCAAACAGCCAATCCACAAACGAAAGAATCCCAGCAATTAAATTTTCACAAGGTCGGATAATTTTCACAATTAAATTTTCAATATTTTCACAAGGTCGGATACTTTGATGGAAGGACAGTTAAGGTCGACAAGATATTGCTAGGTCACCCGCAATACCCTACTCCACAGTAAAATAGGGGTAACAATGTAGCTCTAATCACGCCGAAACCAAAAGTTTATCTATGGTTTTGGTACATAAAACTATCAGAACGAGCTCTTCGTGCTGTGAGAAGAACTATGGAGAATGGCCAAGATCAAATGTCCGATAATGTTGCAGGACAGGTGCAAATGTGCTCCAATACCATCAGAAGCTATTTTCATAGCATGGAATGCAATGCCAGAGTACCTACACAAAAGCCACTCCTCACTCAAGGTAATATCGTATATCGACAGCAATGGGCATCACAGATGTTGTCTCTCCCGTTTTGGGGGCATTAAGTTTTTCCGACAAGTCCATATTTGCAAAATTCTCTGACAGTGGACACATCCGGGTTTGGCCTGTATTCTCCCAAATACTTTTGTTGAAAATACAGCTGTATTTTGGTTATGGTTTGGAGTACCATATTGGAAACTGGACGATCATAGCTGTTTGATAAATGACAGTTCTCGGACAAGGCCCTCTAGCTGTTTATACTAATGACCAGCTTATCAGACAAGGTAATGTTTTCATATAAGATGGGGCGTTTGCTCTTTCAGCCCCGTCACAAATGGATGGCTTGATGGACACGGTATTATTACTTACCCATATCGAGGTCAATCGCAGGGTATGAATCCTATCGAAATTTTGATCCATCCTTGACCGTTTCCTGCGAGAGTACCCCAAACAACCAACATCTATGGATGCCCTCATATTACTTTTTCACAAGAGGTGAGGTGCAGTCCCATAGACCTAGATTTCAAATCTTGTAAATACGATGTATGACTGTTTCTATCTTAAATACTACGAAAGGACAGATCCACTAAATACTAATTATAATTATGTACCTGTTTTTTCTTGTTTAGTTATTTCATAAAATTGCATTTTTTTTTACTTGGTGTTTATTTATTTAATAGCCACAAATTTACGGCATAACTAAGAAGCTTTAAACCAAAAATCTAGCTTACTATTTCGTACATATATGCTATGTGCTGTTTCTACCTAAATGAGCAGCCTCTGCAAAATAAGATACACATGATTTATTAAGACAAAAATAATCTGAGAAAAAACATTTTGTCAGATGTTTTTCAAATATAATTAATTAAAATTGTTTTCTAACTGGTTTGGAACTTGGTTATAGATTATTATTTATATTGTCGAGGGACATTTGAAACACAATTTAGTTTGTGACCTTGATTGAATAATTAATCTTAAAATAAAAAATTAAAAATAAGTAGTTATATAATTTTTAGACTATTGTTCTTAATCTTCACTTTAAAAAGTACAATGTGTTAAAAAAACTTACGTTTCAATAGTTTCCGATACTTTTGATTGTATTCCATTCTTAGCTAACAGATGGCGTTTCCATACCGGAATAGCATCAATTTTCTTCTGCTCTGCATCTTTCTAATTACAATATAAAAATATCGCTATTCTATCTGAAACATATATTTTAGAACAAGGTTATGTTTTTAATTATATTTAATTAATTTTAATTAAGCGTGACTGAGAATTTAAATCGGAATTAACAATTATAATAGTTCAAAGTTACTAGACTATATATATATAATGTAGCTATAATGCACAACTTGATTAATGGAAATCGGCGAGCAAAAAATGTTGTAATAAATCATGTTAGTCGGCTTTAAGGAGTAAATAATTACAAGGAAAAGTACAACAATTTGTCTATGTAATATACGTAATAATCTAGAAATACTGATCGAGCATCTGTTTATTGGGTAGTTCTAATTTGAGTAAATTAGAGAATAGAATTAATTAAAAAGCTTTTACAATCGATTGTGTCTCTCCTCACCTGGCTCTGTTCTTCGGCTTCTTTCCGTGCATTTTCAGCCGCTTTCTTAGCCAGCATTTCCCGTTTCCATAAGGGAATGGGGCAGCCGTTGGCATCCACTTCTGGGATTTTGTTTAGAAAATTTGTGACCGTGCACTGCTGTGCAATTTCTGTTGCTTTCTTTTGCATCTAATGAATAAAGATAAAATTGAAATAACTAGCAGAGAAGGCAGATTTTAGACGATGCATTATAACGAAATCAATGTATTGTTGATATAGCTATTGGGAATTTTTTTTATTTTTACGGTGCTAGAAACAGACTTTACTTTATATCACTGTACATGTAAATGAAAAACACTTCACGAATATTATTACAATTTCAATAACAATTTCATAAACGATCCTACTTCATTAATTCCGGGTTTCAACTGCTTAATTAATACTCTTTGATGCGTAACAACAACTCTATAAGTAACAACAAGAAGCAAGTGTTCTTATAGGAAAACAAATCTCATATACGGTGGAAGAAATCTTGTAAGATGTCTGCTCTCGAAGAAAGATGATATTGAAAAAAAAATTAATAAATCAGTATTTGGCAAGCTCGCAATTCCACATAAAAAAAAACAAACGAATATTGGTATGAAATAAACTATGTGGCCACAAACACCAATAATATTAAATCACAACAGACGTTGATGTTAAGAATGTGTTCACTGAAGGACGTCGCTCTTTTTGAGATGGGTGATTATTCTAGTAGAATAATTCGATGACGAGAAACCCACTTTGAGACTAATAATGGCTGGAGACGGCTTGAATGGGTAATGAAGAAAAACTTTAATATAAGTTTAACATAACAGCAAGTGTACAACGTTTCGACAAGGTTTTGTCATCATCATTTGCTGTTAGTAGAATAATGTTACACGAAATTTATTGTAAGAACAATCTATGTTCACTGAAAAACAAAACCGATGAATATGAATCAATTCATGATATTGAAAAAGTGGAGTAATGACCGAAAATTATCCATTAACAACAAGTAACATCTATCTCAGAAAAAAAAGAATGATCGCTACTGTTCTCAAAATTAAAGTTGTTTGAAAATGTACAGTATATAATTACAGGGAAAAGTAAAACAGTATACTCAACGATTATTTATTACTTTCACGATGGGTGTACTTATCATAATTGACCCAAATGTGTTTAGGAACAAAGAACAGCAGGGAAGTATACTCAAAGATTGTTTATTACTTTCACTATGGGTTTACATATCATAATTTACCCAAATGTGTTTAGGAACAAAGAACAGCAGGGAAGTATACTCAAAGATTGTTTATTACTTTCACTATGGGTTTACATATCATAATTTACCCAAGTGTGTTTAGGAACAAAGTACAGAAGGAAAGTATGTTCAATGATTGTTTTTCACTTTCACGATGGGTTGTAATACGTCTTAACTGTACTTTTAAAATATTGCATTCGCAACTAGAAACGTTCAATGTTTAAAGTAACTGACGTTTCAAACTTGGTGTTTAACCAGTTTGGTTCAATAACTATGGTGTACCTCGTTCTCTTCCATTTTTTGGCGTTCCTCCTTCATTCTCTTGACGCCTTGAATGTCCTTTGATTTCTTCAGTTCGGCGATCAAGTCCCTCTTTTTCTCCACGATAGAATCGTTTTTTTGCGGAAGAACGGTTTGTTCTTTTGAAGCTATAAAATGAAAACAAAATCAAAATGACACGTCTTAGTTATTTATTTATTTTTAAATAGGTTTTATTGTGAACCATAAATAACCACATTTGTGAGATAAAAGTGATTAAGTCTTTCAGTTTTTTCAGTCTGCCCTTCCACCAGGATATATTTTAGTTTTTTTAGGCCAATCATGATTTAGTATTTATTTATCTTTTTAAATAAGTTATCAAATGATTTATGAAGTTGAAGCATGCTACTGAAATAAAATATTTTATATCAGAAATTACACTGCTAAAACATTTCACACTTTAGTTGCATTTAACACATTATTTCTGAAAATTGGTAAAGTAGTTGATTATCTCATACAAATGTAAAAAGACAAAGATAAAAGCACATTGAATATATTTTCTATTTTTCGAAACCACCATAACCTTGACATTGATTTTGTAAGAGATGTCAGTTATATCAATAGTACAATAAAACTCACTTGTATTTGCTGGTTTTTCCGTTTTCTTCAGGTTAACCGACTGAAGTGCTTCCTTGGTCACATTAAAATTTGGCAAAATTGAAAAGAGATCCACTAGGCGGTGGTGGGGGTACTTGTGGTATTGTTTTATCGATACTTGTTTTTGGTTCATTAGCTATAATATTCTTATTGTTGTCCGTTGTGGTCTCAGGTACACTTTTTGTTTCAGATTTGGTTAAGCTATTTTCTGAGATACAATCAGTCTTCTGCTGCAACTGCAGTGATGTTGGAGAAGTAATGACAGACGATAATTTATCTTCCATTTCTTTTTTGGCTGCAGTTTTTTCGGGGCTTCCAAGGAGAACACTAGGTATTTTCCCTATCTTTGGAATAGGGAAAGACGGAGCAGTTTTGTTTGCTAATTTCTTCAGATACTCAGAAGGTTTGATGTTCATGTCAGATTTCGGCATTGATTCAAACTGAGGTAGAATGAACCCGCTTTGTGCTAGTGGGGGAGATAACTTAGATAGCTTGAGTTTCAAGCTACCCATTTCTTCCAATTCTTGAGGCTTATTGTTGTTCCTAGTTTTATTGTTATCATCATTACTGGTCAAATTGTCTGGAGGCATGGACTTTGGTCGTTCGGGTACTCCGCTCTTCTCATTTTCGAGACCAACAGTCGATTTTGGTCTAACAGTAGAACTTGGAGAATCTATTTGTCCATTAAGATTACTCTTACTTAAAGGTAGAGGAAGAGGTGGGGGAGGTGGTGTAGGAAAAAATGGAGTGGTAGATAAGGAAACTGGAATGGAAAGAACCCGTTCCGCTACTTCCTTGGAATCTCTTTTAGAATACGACTCTTCTCCACTTTCCAGGATATTTGTAGAGTAACCATTTCTTTCTTCTAAAAGGGGTTTGATCTTGGGTTCTATTTGGGAGTCAAAGATTTGTTTTATTTTTCCAACTTTAGGTAAATCTACAATCTCCTCTGGACCAGTAAATGCACAGTTGGCATGAGGAGGATTTTTAGGAGTTTCGATATCCTTTTCCTGATTTGAAATTCTTGAAACAGTAAGTGGTTCGTTTTCAGCATCTTTTTCTCCTGGATGTATGTCAGGAGATTCCTCCGTGCTATTTAGTTCTTTCATTTCCGAAGGACAACTAGAAGAAATACTCTCATCTTGGTCTTCCGGTCTTTCATTTTGAACTTCTGGACACATCTTCTCATCTGTACTTATACTACAGGCTTCAGACGGTTTCTCGGAAAAGCCTTCAAGCAGTATTTGACTTTTATCAGTTTTTTTACTGATCACAGGGTCATCGTATTCTAGAACTGGTTCACTAGCTTCAGATATACTCGTTTCGCCATCCGAAGCCGGTTGGTAGACTTCTACATTCACTGTATCAATAAATACAAATTATCGAATTATTACAATTTTAGCAGTTTCTTTCCAACCTCGAATAATTAAAGTGTTATTGAATATGAATCGATACTCATTGCTTGTTTTTATATATTTAAAGCAATCAGTATCTACTTGAAACCTACTTCAACTGCTTATTTCAAATCTACCAGGTGTTTTTTTATGGCAAATCATTTAAAGCAGCGTCAACATATTGTTTCGCCTCTTTGAGATTCAATGTCACGAAGCTAATTTGAGTACCTTATTTCAGATAATGTCATACACAATTATGTTTTATATTATGTTTCTTTTTTAAACAAACTGAATAATTTGCTAATAGCACAAATAAGATTTTCTGTAACACCAAACCTATGTGTATTTTCTGATTCATTATTAGCAGTAATGTAAATGAAAAAATAATCACGAAAAAAAAACAACTAACTGCAAGATTAAAAAGTTCTAAACATATAAAACTGGAAACTAAAGTTTAGATACAAGCTACTCTTGAACTGTGTTTAACATAAAATCAAAATCTTAATGTCTTTACCAGTATCATTACCTAATGATAATTAATACAAATTAAGCTTATTACAACGTAACAATACAATATTAGTTTCTGAAAAAACAGCATACCATTTATAGTAGTTATACTGCTTGATGAGTTAGGATTTGAAACAGAAGAGTCCGCAGTTGATTGCTCTTGCTTATCACCAGATGTATCTTTGAACATGTTTTTCACTCGATCTTCTGGAGTCATGTTAGGTTCATGCAGGTAGAAAGGCTCTTGGCTAGCTGCAACTGGGCCTGCTGAGAATGGTTTTTCGTAAGTCTCCATGTGAGAACTTCGAGAACTTTCATTGCTGGATGATCTTTGATGACCGTTCGTAATCTCAGTGTTACTCACATCGCATTCTGGTAATTGTCTATGATGAGAGCATTTATGATGATGATGACAATGCTTCTGGTCCTTTTTTTCGTCTAGACCGCATAAATTACAATTGCTTGTAGGAATAAGTGAGTGATGATGATTGGGTCGTTGTGAAGTCCTCCCTCTTAGTGACTGACGGTTACTACCAGTGACGTCCGACGGATGGCCATTAGACCAGGAATTGGTTTCGTCTGACGTAGTAGATAGATATGAACAACCGTCGGAGCTCTGTTCAAAGATTACAGAGGTGCCATAACTAACAAAAATTATCAGGTAGACAAATCTTATAGTTTATTGTAAACAATAAGAATATCCATAAATGAAAGCAAACGAGAATATGTTGTAATATGTCAAACACACTCCATCTGCCATATCCATTCAGAGTGCCGATGAAGCCTTTCGCCCATGCCAGTGCTCATCAGGCCTTCTGGGATACGACAAACATAATAGTGGTATAGGAGCTATATAAATATCAGTTTTCACGAACAACGATTATAATGACGTGAACCAGACTAAATGAATTATAATTATTAATAATTTTTATTTTAATAATTTACATATTATATTATTAGGGTAAGATTTAACAACAAATTATGTATAGCAGAGACGGCTGGTATGGGTATTTATGGTAAAGTATTTAATACCCATACTAGCCGTCTCTGCTATACATTTTTTACTTCAAGTGGGTTTCTCGTCATCATTAACAACAAATTATGTATCTAATTTTGATTTTAACACTAGTTATTTGTTCTACTTATTGATTATTATTTATTACTAATTAACATTACTATCATTCACAAGAACTGGCGAACCAGTAAGTTGGTAGTCTTCTTGTTCCTGGAGCGGGTCAAGCAGTAAATAAAAATGAAAACATATCTGTTAAGAATTAAATATAAAAAAGAAAAACAAGAACAAAAAAACGTTAAATAGTTTCAAGATATTTTCATCATTCTGAAATCCGAATTGAGAATTTTTTTTCAATATAATTCCAAGATGTAAGAAACAAAACGATAAAATATAAAATCGAGAACACCATTTTGTCTTTCAAATGCACTACTGACCAATTACTTTCCTTACATGAGAGGTAGAAGGACGGCTGTATTGTGACTGTTCTCGACAAGATAAACAACAACGCTGAACAGGAAATGATGGTATAACACCAGGTGTCGTGGTTGTTGACATTTCAACCTGATATTGAGGATCTGAAGTATGCGCCGTCAAAACAGCAAAACACTGCAAAAATAACCGATTGAATTTTATTCTTGGAAAATTCAAAACAAAGGAGAAATTTTTTTCTCTTAAAGTGCAGAGCTAAACAATGGACAATCTACTCTACGCCAACCGCTAATATCGAAACCCGATTTTTAGCATTATAAGCCCTCACGCTTACCTCTGAGCTATGCATTATCGTAGATTATTCACCCTGAGCGTTTTCTACTCAATAGGCTAGTGAACTTAGATGTGCAAAGTAAAATGTGTCATTGTTACTGATGCGTCTAGGAGTAATAAGAACACTATTTATTTATATAAACGCCCCCAGTGGCACAGCGGCATGTCCGCGGACTTACAATTCCAGAATCCGGGTTTCGATACCCGTGGTGGGCAGAGCACAGATAGCCCATTGTGTAGCTTTTTGCTTAATTACAAACAAACAATTTATATAAATTAACATAAAACTCTGTTGACTTTTTATTTCAGATTTTCCAAATGTGTTTTCCTGTATTTAACCTGCTATTTGTTATAAGGCTTCCAGAAAGGATATTTATTCAATTCCTCATTGAACATGCTCAACTGTTATTTTCAGTATTTCAAAGAAATATTGCCAATTCAACTGTTCATTGTTCCCACTTAGGTAGTTCATTATATATTTCGTCAAATGCACTGGATGGGCTAATTATGTCTTCTAACCTATAAAATTAATTCAAAGCTCAAATATTACAAATCACAATAAGTCAAATGAAACTGAAAAAAAACAACATTAACAATAAAAACTTTACTAGAGACAATATATTGGGTATTAACATTAAATAAAATATGTAATGAGAAAATGGTGTATTATTAATGCGTGATATAAACCTGGAAAATGTTTTTAATATGACTATATTGTTTCAAAAAAAGTTAAAGCATCACTTTTCTCCAGTCCTCATTAATCCAATGTTTGTGCTCTTTACACCACTAGAGGCGTATTTTTTCTTATTGATAACTAAGATCAGTGGTTTACACAATGGTCTACTACTACTACAGTCTGATCGTGGCAAGATTCGGATGGAGATGGATGTGGACTGCCCTGCACTGAATATCTGTCAGTTGTTCTATTGTTTGATGATGATTTGACTTCACCATCCTGATCGCCTTTCTCCTCCTTCTGTCACTGTGTGTTTGTGGCCACAATTCTCTCCAATAGCAGACATTTCATTCGCTTTTTGCCATTGCTGATAAACTCGAATGGCCGATATCTTAGAACTGCCTACCAATGAAACTGTCTTAACCACTTTGGCACCTGATAAACATGCACACACTATCATGCCTCTTTTTATCGCTGAAATATCTTTTCCTTTCCACACATGTGTTATAATGAGAGAAAATGTGCTGCAGGGATAACCTGACGCACCATGTGATCAACCTAACTTACATCTGAAGCTCAGATAAGGCACAACTCTGAAAGAGTACATAGTTCCTAATACATATACTAGTTTCGACTATTATATGTAGCCGAACTTATTTTACGTATTTAGGTGTGTATTTGATTTACACAATCATTTCATGTCATCATTACGTATTAAGTGGATTTTGAATAGGTTTGTTCGTACAAAGAGTATTTTTTAGCAATTGTTTAAAAAAAGACAGTATCCTTATGTGAATATTTCACACAATATTCTAGCTCCACTGATCCCACGTTTCTGTAAGATCTCTGATAAATGCGGTGTTGTATTTTTAGTCTAAGACACCAAAACAGTATTAATAAAATTGTACTATGCTACTACTGCTCGTTTTATTTCAAAAGCCATAGTTCACGAAAGTAGAAAAAAATTAATATTTCTTCTTAAACTTAAATACATACCTCCACGTGCTCATTTTCTGCTGCATCATTAAGTGGGCTTTTCCCTAATTTATCCAATAAAATTCGCCCACCGTGTTTTAAAAGCCATCTCAAGACATGAACATGGCCTCTGCTGGCAGCAAAATGGAGTGGAGTGGCACCATCTTTGTCTTTTGTGTTGGGATCCACTCCTTGTTCGACCACCTACACATAAAAATAACTTTAAAAATATGATTTAGCACTTAGCATCGATTTAAGTAGGAGAATGTGTGCCACCGCTGCTAATGGTGATTATGTTACACACCATAAAGTGCAATTAAACTTCACAGTTTTATAATTTTGTAATCGTGGAATCCTTCAGGATATAAACAAGAGAAGCGTATCTAAGCTGTAGAAGCTTTTGAGATGCAAGTGTTTTTCTAAGCACTTGGATCTCAAAAGCTTCTTCAGCTTACACACACTTCTTTTGTTTATATCCTCATGGATTCCACGATCACAAAATTCTAAAACTGTATGTTTTTTTAACAGTCAGTAAGCTATAAATTTAGAAGCTGCTCTGATTTTCGCATAAATAGTATCTATACTTTTATTAAAATGAACTTGTAACGAAAAAAAAACCTTAACCATTTAGTTCAAATGATCAAATCATGAATAAGCTCACTGATATTTAATTACACTTAAAAAGAATGACGTTACAGGTCTCGTGCTGCTCTTGGAACTACTTCCTTCATCATCGATCTTGCTCACTTCGACGGATATAATTACACATTATAATACCC